CTGCAATTGCAAAGATTATTGCAGTAGTTCACAGACAGTAAACATGTAATGATATAATGTTTTTGAAAGGTTGGAGCAGCAGTCATATTAAAGGGGTACTCTGGTGATTAGGTATTGTGCTTTCATAAAGTTGGAGGAGTTGCAAGAGACATCCTGAATTTTATTCTTTAACATCCCTCCAAAAAGTCCACAAAATACCGCATCCTACACTTCCCATGATGCAACTTGACACGGCTGTCATTAGACCCTACCTTCTTGGTCTGACAAAATTTCCATCCAGGAATCTTCATTAGGTTATCTTTATTTGGTTACGTATCACCTTTTTTAACTGTAAACTTTTTGGGAATATAGCAAACACATCATAGTCAAACAGCAAATCCAACAACAGCAGCCTGAGAATATCAATATGATTTATTTGATTTCGCCTTTATAAATAATTCACTATCAAAACTGCTCCAGGGTGTCCTGCTATATTCATTAAAAAAAACATTCAGACAATAAAAAATTGTGGGAAGTGAAAGTGACAGAGGTGAGCTTGCACTAAGGAAAGAGTACAAAGACACTTAACACTGCATTCAAATCACAGACTTTTTCTTTTTGCTTTCAGTGCATACTGCAGCTGTCCTTACAAAGCAAGTACTGTTGCATAGAATATGCATAGAACTGGGAAATACCACTTCATCAACTTTGCGCCTTGAACTTTAAACCCTTTTGTTCAGACATCCATCACAGTCCGTAGTGGGAAATTTGAAGTACAAAGAAATCGTATGCTGTTTGGTATGCAACAGATCTTAACATTATCACTGAACATGACCTTAAAGATACAACAAAATGCAATTTGCCAAGCTGGTCAGAGACAAAGGTTGATCTGGAGAGCTCTGCTGTTGTTACTTTGCAATGTAGACTGAAAAAAAATTTACACACAACACTTCCCATTTAGTATGCTGGTAGTGATGCTGTTTAATTAGCATTTTGATATGCCACACCTGTCAGGGGATGGATTATTTTAGAGAGGGAGAAGTGCTTACTAACACAAATTTTAACACATTTGCAACCAAAATTCGAGAGAAATATATATCTTAAGTGCATGAAAAAAGTTGTAGATCTTTAACTTAAAGCTGTTATAAATGGGAGCAAAATCAAAGATGTTGCATTTAAATTTGTCCGTGTAGTTTTAAATTTTAAGTTATAACAGCATACTTTGTAGATTGATTGATTATAGTCATTGCAGCTTCTGTCAGCTGTCAGTGAGCTGTCCTCTGTGTGCTGTCCAGTCCTTGTGACTTATCTTCCACTAGACAGAGAATTGTGAGTTGTACATCCTGGTATTTCTGGCATACTGTATTTGACATACTATGTATTGGGACATTTTCTGGTATACTAAATAGTATGGGTACTGAAACACACCAAGAGTTTACAGCCATCGTTTACAGTGATGATCCCAACATGCTGATGTTAAGCAGATATAAAATTTACCATGTTCACTCTTGTAGTTTAGGGTGTGAGCATGCTAACAATTGCTAATTAGCAAACTCAAAGTACAGCTGAGGCTGATGGGAATGTCATTAGTTTTGCAGGTATTTAGTTATAAGCCAAAGCATTAGACAAATTGAATTTTTAAAGATTTTTTTGGGCATGTTTCATGCTATATTCATAGAGACATAGAGATATGAAAGGGCCAAGAGAGGGGAGGACATGCAACAAAGGGCCCAAGGCCAGACCCAAGCAAGGACCCAGCTCCAATCGCACACACTCCATCTGGTGAGCTACTAGGGCACCACACAAATGAAAAAGTTAGGAGTTAGGAACATGAATGTCAGTACAAGACTGAATGGAAACCCATCCAAATTATGTTGAGATAGTCGAGAAGATGTCAACCTGTTGAAAGTCAGGTCAATCAAGTCATACTTCCTCTGGGGACCATGGATCTCTGTACCAAATGTCAAGTCAAACCACTATTGAGATATTTTAGTCTGAACCAACTTGACAGGCTGTCATCCCAGGGGACAGTTTGGACAACAACAAAAGCAAGCTGGTTTGCTGTATTTCCTGCTTCTGAAGTTCTGAAGTTTATTCACACTCTAAAAGTAACTTTAAATGGTATGATTTCCTTGATATGATGTGTTTCCTGTTAGTCAGTGAAGGGATGGGCTGCCAGTTATGGGGAGAAAGGAAGCGTGATTTGATGATTAATTGGTAGGACTTTTTTGTTTCACCCATTAATACAGATGACATCACCTGTGAAGATTACCTGTTTTTCAGGAAGCCTGAGAAATCATGCCATGGGATGTTTAAATGCATTGGATATGTGACAGGTCTGGCACAGACACAGCAAGAGGCAAGGCAGACATGGTAAGTGAGGCATAGCCTAATTCGTGTAGGCTAAACTTCTCTCTGTAAGGGTTAGAGAGACAGAGACAGAGAGGAATGTTTGTTTTGGGAGGATGCTTTCTAAAAATATGCTCTGACCCTTCATTATCTGTGGTAAAAATCTTTTTGTGGGAAAACAGGACAGCATAGTTGGAGTGCAAAATCTTCTTTTTAAAATTACAAATTATGAATTAGAAAAGAAACAAATGGGAGGTGGATAGTAAATCTGCTTAATTAGATATGTGTTGTCAGTTTTCTGTTTCTGTCAACCTAAGAGATGCCAGCTTTCTCTCATGGCTTACAGGGCAAAGGCAAAGGTGAAGCCTGTCAGGATACAAGTTGCTTTGAGGCCCAACAACTTTCTGAATGTCCTTCACTGGAACTCTTAGAAATCTGTAGTTACCCAGGCTGCTGCTGATTCATTTAGTTATTGTCCTGGCCTTGGGTGCTGCTTTTCCCTCTCTATATAACATTTGTGCTCAGAAAGTGCACTTATGGCTGTGTGAGCAGCCTTCACATCTGCACTCATTCTAAGTTAAAGATAAACAAACTGTAGGAGGGTCTCTGGAAATCGGAAAAACAATTTTCACTTAATGTGACATAATTTGAGATCATTTGACGAGGGACTGAAAGGACTTTTGCCTGATAGTAAATCATCTGATTTCTTCCTCAGATTGTGTTGGCATGTTAATTCACTGTGGTATCAGACAGAGAAGATACTAGGCATAGAGTAAATATATCTCCCAGTAGCAGTCTCTTGTAAAGAATATGTTTGAAAAGTTAGATTTAAGGAGGAATTTTCCTCAGTATGAATTAAGTGCAAGTTTCTCACAAAGATTATTTCAGAGTCAAGGTGGCAAAAACCTGTGACCTTCATACGGCCAGGATAACGATTAAGGAATTTTAAGCGTAAATGAATGAACAAATATAAGGTTTGAATCAAAGTGGACTCTTGTGGTTTTCTTTGTGGTGTGTTGACTTAGAGCAGTGGCTCCCAACGTTTATCCTTAAGTGACCCCTTTTCTATTATTGAGTAAACTCACAACCCCTGGCTAAGTGACATATTTTATGGATATTTCATATTATATTCAATACATAACCTTGACAGTACAGAACAACTGCAGAGAGTTTTAGCAGCAGATTTAGAAGCAGATTTTTTTTTGTGAATATTAGATAAGAGATTAGTTTTCCAGGGTCTTTTAGAAACTTTTAATGGAATTCTCTGTCTTTGTTATGTATTCTTTAAATTTGATTTTTAACAATCATACATTCTTAATAGGCTTCATTTTTTTGTTTTCCTTCTCTTCTCCCTGACGTTTAGCCATCACTCTATAGCTCTTTGATTATTTTAACTGCGCACTTTTCTAACACAGGACGAGGCTGTTTAGCAGAGAGTGAAGGCTCTGTGAATGTAGATTGTGTTTAAAGCTTCACCATTTTTCTTTTAAGTTTATATTTTGGATAATAATCCAAACTTACTTACTTAAAATAACAATTTTATTCAGCTTTTTTCACATAAATAACATAAAAGTGAAATGCTGAGACATAGGCCAAGTATATATATATATTTTTTTAAAAAAAGTTGTCTTAAGGCCTAGACACTCCAAACCGACTTTCAAGAACTAGCGGGAACACAAGTATACGGTTGTGTAGCCTCACGTCGCCTGTGTCTTGGCCCAAAAAAGTTGTACATGAACACAAAGACTAAAGGCAACGACCACCCAGCATGTACATTCAGCACGAGCCTGAGAGGAAAAAAACTCTTCATAGTAGCAGAAGACTGTAGACTGTATTTGTCATTCAAAAATGGAAAGTGGAAGACCCTCTCTTGATGCTAGTTAGCCAGTTAGCACATTAACAGCACAATCCAATGTTGAAAGAACAGAGCGTAGTTATCTTGCACCAATGAACAATAAGGCAAATAATCATGACATGTTTCTGCTAAACAGCTCAATTTTCAAAGAAAAATAATCTTACTTCATGTAACAAGCTTGGTACGATCTCACTCCCTCTTGACTTTAGCCGACTGTTTACTTTCCTCACTTCTGTTTCCCTTCTCGTGCACTGAACTGAACTGCCAATCAGAGTGATTTTATTCACTAACAGGTTCCTCTGTTGCTGATGAAATCAGGATTTGTCGCACATGATGTATTGCTGCTCCCGTGCTTTATTCCCACACCACACAAATAATTGAGAAATAATATATAGATTGAGAAATAATATCATTAAATAATATTATTCCTATATGTATTTTGTAGGTCTCCAGATAGCCTCACTCTTATTGGAGGACATGCTATAAAAAGAGGGACTGCCCTTTACTCTGTAAGCCTGATGAAGCCTCCTACGTGAGGCGAAACGTTGCTTATTTGTTTGGTGTGGAAATAAAGCACGGGAGCAGCAATACATCATGTGCGACAAATCCTGATTTCTTAAGTTTTCCCTTTGATGTCAGCACCGATTGAAATAAGTTGATTCCGAGGATGTGCATTCTTTATATTTGTTTCACTTTTTCCTCTGTTGCTGATACCAATTTAAAATGCTAAATTGGCTGAAAAAAGAGGCCGACAAAGGGCAACGGTGCAGGATACACTGCCCCTACTGGGCCAACAGACACTCACTGATGGCCCAACATGGACCGTGAGCTTGGTGAGTTAGGGGCTTTACGACCTTTAAAATTTAGAAGGCCTCATTATCCCTGTGACGCCTTGCCGACCCCTACTGGGGGTCAGAACGCCCGGGTCGGGAAACAGTGACTCATAGCCTTGTTGCTTGAAGTGCAGCCAACTTTTCTATTGTGGCCCTCAGAAACATTTTTTATGGCCCCAAAACATGACATGAAACACATGCATTATATTTTAATCATCTGCAGCCCATTTCAATGCTTTAACTTTGATTCATATTCATTCATTCATTTATTTTCTTCCATTTAAACATTAACTGACACACAGCAAATGACATGCATAACTTCTGTCATCAACACATCATCTATTTAAAATGCACACACTTCATCTATCTGTCCCTTCAGCTGGCAGTTGAACTGCGTTTAACGCATCATCAACTGACATTTCAACTAATTTAACGATTAGTTAAGCTACTTTTGGTGTTTGTATGCAAACTAAAATTTACCTGCCTGCAGGGCTCACTTGTAAAACTATAATTCCAGCTTTCAGCTTTCAGCTTTCAGCTCTTATACGTCAGCAGATACTACAAACCGCCTCAGTGCTTTGGCTTCAACTGACACATCTACTGCTCTTCGTGTTTCAACTAAATCTGCCCATACAATATCTTTTATATTTAACATTCTAACTTCTTTACAGTGTTTGCATCTACAGTTTTCAGCAGCTAGCACATGTAAATTTTCCTTAGCAAATGTAGTCCTTTCAAGTTTAACTACTTTATGTCCTGTTACAAAACAATGTAACGATAATTTAAATGAAAAAGATGATACTTTTAATCATATATTTAAAAAAATAATAATAATTCTCTCTGAAATGTAATGGGAAAAAAAGTATAATATAGGAAAAAGGGAAATACTTTAGTAAGGTACAAATATCTTAAAAATGTACTTAAAGTCAGCATTCGTTTCCACTATTACCATCCAGAACCTATAAAGGTTGCTACAAGACATTCTTTGGAAATTAACTAACTTCCTACCTTCCGTCCTTCTCTCATATCCCATCCCAGGAGCGGGGAGGAGTGGCAGAGCCAGCATCACAGAGCAAGGTGCAGACCTTGAGGGGTGAGGTAGATGAACTCAGTGACAAGATGAAGGAGAATATGAAAGGAATCATTAAAAAAGGAGAAAAGGTGGTCGATCTCCTCACCAGATCAGAGAATATGAAAAAGGAGGTCAGTCTTACTGCAGTAGTTTGTCCTTTTACTATGATTTGTGTAAATTTGTTGTGCTGTGAGAATTGTTAACGCTTACAAAATTGCATCTTTGGTGTACTGTGCAGTTACAGTGGGAGGTCAAATAAAGAGGCTATTTAACTATGTCCTCAGTGACTATGTGTGGCCTTTTTCTTGCTCTGACCTCAACTTTGAATTAAGCACTTTTCAGTAAGGCATTGCTCCAGCTGCACCTCAGTGGTGGTTAAGCACATTAAGTCAACAACCTTTTGTCTTCGGTTCTAATGCCTCACTGCACAGGTGGTATTACTCATCATCCGTAATTACTGATGTCTGTAAAAGGCACAACCAGTCATTCAAGTTTTCTCATTTCAGGAAATGTGTCAGTTACAGTAACCACTGTCTTAGGCTGACATTGTGTTTCGTTTTAGCAGAAAAAGCACAACTGTACAACAGTTCACCCCAGTAGTAGTATTTAGTGGCAGTATAGTAGTATAGGTATAGTATAGTGATAGTAGCATTTTTTGGTCTAGATTGTTTTGGTGTGAGTTGCAGACTGTTGGAGATATCAGATGCAGGGACGTCTGCCTTCTCTCCAATATGATAAAACTAGATGGCACTCAGCTCGTGGTGCTCAAAGCGCCAAAATATATATTTTTGATTTTGGGATGAACTGTTCCTTTTTTGCACTTTTCCATTTAGCATTGTGACTAAGTCATGCTAGTGAGCCCGCATGCATAGCGCCAGGAATGGATAGAATGTTGTCAGTTACACCTGTGTTACCAGCCAAAATGTAAAAAGGTCTGTTGCTTTTGGTTTTGAGGTTAGTGTATATATTCTGTTGCTGTATCAAAATGGTGATAAGTGTTATATGCTGTCTGTCTCAAACTGTTCTCAGTGACATGTGATTCAGGTATGGTTAGAGGATAGAGCTAATGAACTTTCAGGAAAACATTAATGAGTTTGGGTTCTGTTTCTTTAACAGAAACGTGGACCATTGTGTCCATAATGTATAATGTGTCTCGCTTCAATGTATTGTCTCATTCCCCTCCCTACTCAGGCTGAGGACTTCAAGTATAGGAGTAAGGAAGTGGAGAGCAAATACTGGTGGAAGAACGTCAAGCCTATCACGGTCATCGTGGTGGTCGTCCTCATCGTCATCCTTATCATCATCCTGCTGGCCACCGGAGTCATCCCTGTCAGTGCCCCTGTGCCTCCTGTAGTCACTTCCTCCTTCAAGCCATAAACACACACACACACACACACACACACACACACACACACACACACACACACACACACACACACACAATGTACCCGCAGCAGACACAATGAAATCATAAACAAACATATGTCTATCACAACGTAAACAAAGTATCACTCACACAAATCAGTGCATTTATCTCAGCAGCCCTCTTACATGTGAACCTTTACAGAGGACAGCAATTGTTGCGTTCTTGCATATTTTTTTTTCTTAAATGCAAAATTCTGAGGCAAATAGAAATGACAGTACCACTTTGTTTTACAGCCTGCAAATTAGAATGTATATTGTTTTCTAAATATGTGGTGCAAACAAACTTTGAAATAAATTACTCTGTATTTATTTTTTTAAATTGCTGAATACCTAAGCAGACTCTATCTGCTGAGGTGGCTCAGTTCTTTTGGAGTGCAGGGAGCACTCCTGAAGACCTTCTTTGACACTGTGGTGGCATCAGCCATCTTTTATGGAGTGGTCTGCTGGGGCAGCAGCGTCTCGGCTGCAGATAGGAAGAGACTGGACAAGGTAATCAAGAAGGCCAGCTCTGTCCTGGGATGCTCTCTGGACTCTGGGGATCAATAAAGATGTATCTTATCTTATCTCATCTTATCTTATCTTACTTGTGCTTTAATAATTACAGAGTGCATTAAGGTTTATTCAGTATTTGTACTGGGTAAAAGGAATTCACAGATGGAAGAAATGGGGCAACATTGTTAGTATTTATTATTATATTTATACAGTACTGCTAATTTTTATATGGAGTAGCTACTATGCTACTATTAATATAATGTGCATTATTACTGTCTCGGGGAACCAAACATCAGGCTACATTGTATTATGAATAAATAAACTTTCTTTAAAAAAAGATTTTATTGAGTTTTATTGGAAAAACAAATGTACAGGTACAAATAATCTGTAAACAGATAAATATGCATAGAAACACTTCTGATATTCTGCAAAACCACATGATTGTAAAATTCTTAAAATCCATAACCTTCTACAGCTCTGTTTCATCAGCTGTCCACTATATTTAGTTTCATATCATCCTCCAAAGCTGGGAGGACATTGGAGGATTTTGGACCATTATTCTGTCCAATGTCTTTAAATATATAAAGCAGAGATATTGCAGCTTTTGACTTCTTCCACTAACCTCAGTGTTCCTGCTGCTGTGAATGTGCTGTGAAGCAGCAGAGGTCACTGAAGAGGGCACTGAGCGAAAACAAGCATAGCTTTGTAAGGCATGAGAGCTCTGCACTTTAACATATGGCTTTGATACTTTGATTCAATAAACACGGCACCAGGGTCAGCTGTTAGGGGTCAGATTTCAGGACAGTGTCTGTTCACACACTTTGAGCCAACCAGCTGAGAGATCATTTACAGCCCCTCTATGGTTCCCCTTGCTGGGCCTGTGTCAACCAATAGGCCCTCAGAAATCACAGTTTATAACTAGAAAATTATATTCCAAAACACAGACATATTTCTGAAGTGTGTTTGCAGACTGCAGCCAAGACCCTGTGTATCTCACCTTCCACCTCTCTCTGCTGTTAGACTACTACTTTAATTTCAAAGAGGTCAAAATAATTCCCATTATGAACAATAAATAGGCACCATGGTCTCACCTGTATTCTTGCAACAGCCTTTAACTTGTTAATGCAGGTATCTATTCTTTCAGAGGCTATTTATTTAGTTTTTCACATCTGCTATATTCTTGTCCTGTTTTATTAACAGAATCTATCTATCTAATTATCTATCTATGTATCTATCTTTTTCTCCCTTGTTGTTTGCCACAATATGGAGACAGAGAGTCCGACTGCTCTGAGACTTGGGTAAGTAGATATGTGGGGATTCCCTGCAGCCTCGACGGATGGTGGTTCAGATCTGCTTATGGTGAAACCATGAAGGGCATAATGGCACACTGTCTCACACTTTTGGTTTCTGTTCTGTCCATTGCCCTACTTTAGTGATACAAATAAAACAAAGCTACAGTGTAGTCAAAATAGAGAAACAAAATGTTGGTGGAGTATTTGAAATACTCTAATCCCCTCACTGAAAAGGACATTTGACTTTGTAAACATTTAAACAAAAGTGAGTCATATTAGTTTGAGTACTACAGAGAATGCAGTGAGAAAGAAAAGGGTGGTATAGCCTACAACAAATCAGGCCCAGCTGGTGAGACTAGGGGCCAGAATGCCTTCACTGTGCACACATCTGTTTTCAAATATGGAGAGATGAAACTCTAAGGTCTGCTAACTGATATATCTGTTGTTAGTTTTTTATTAAATGTTTCTTGATTACATTTCTGTTATTTAAATTATTTTAATGATTTTAAAAGAAATATACTGCAAAATAAACTGCAGTCAAACCAAACACCTGTAAGAGGATTACTGAGCAAGGCAAAACAAAAATTCGAGCAGACTGTTTAACATGTTGCAACAGGCCCGCCTCCCCTGTTGACTCAACAACAGTGAACCTCTGTGTCCCATCAGAATGGATCTGCTGTTTTGTCGATTAGTAGTGACTCAGCTATTAAGTTTTTATCCCCATGACAAAAGGCCTGATGAGTTTCGGAACAACACCCCCTTAGACAAACACAAACAAAAAAATCCACTGAAAGCCCATTTGTGACTGATGGGAAATGAGCCTGGCCTCAGACTGCTGTAGTCATGCGGATGTGAGTCTTCCATCCATGGACGAGTATTTGACAATGATGCGAAGGGAGGGTGGTCAGCATGCTGAATATGGCCTTTGTTTTTGCTCAGCTTTTTCCTGAAGAAGCCTTTTGTTGGCCGGGTCTCTGACCCCAGCAGCTCTGACCTGACAAAGTCTCAAGTGTTACCTCAGTTAGAAAAAATGGTAAATACTGTATCCCAGATTATTATGGTAATTATGTGTTCACTTTGATAATGCAATAGTGAACTTAATCTGAGGTATACTAGAGGCTGATGTAGGTTAATAAGGTCAGCGCTGACAGATTCGGATTGAGGTTGATGATACAGTGTTGCCATTCAATCTTCTTAATATAGCATATCATTTAATATACTTTTACTTTACTAGGCTACACTATACTATGGTCGACATACAACACTACATAACTATACTACATACTATAGCCAACTATACTGTACTCTACACTACCCTACCCTACACTACACTACACTGCACTGCACTATACTATACTATACTATACTATACTATACTATACGTTATGGTTAAGTACACTACAATATAGTATAGAATACTACAACAGTCCTCCACTGCATCATACCATTGTAGGTGTAATATTATATAATATTACACTTTTACTATACTATACTATACTATGCTATGCTATGCTATGCTATACCATACTATACTATACTATGCTATGCTATGCTATACCATACCATACTATACTATACTATATGGTTTAGTACACTACAATAAAGTATAGAATGCTACAACATTCCTATACTACATTATACTATTGTATGTGTAATATTATATGATATAGTATACTAGTACACTACTACTATACTATACTATACTATGCTACATTACTATACTACATTTTACTATTGCTCCACTGCATTATACTATTGTAGGTGTAACATTGTATAATATAGTATACTAGTACACTCTTACTATGCTATGCTATGCTATGCTATGTTATGCTATGCTATGCTATGCTATACTATACTATACTATATTATACTATACTAAACTAAACTAAACTAAACTATATACTACTACACTACATTACTGTACTACATTTTACTATTATGTGGTGTAATATTGTATTATATACTGCACTAGAACACCACTCTCCCCTAGTATATTTGTACATTTTAATATGGTATAATTTAATATAATATAGAGAATTATATAATTATAATGTACTATACCATACTTTAAATACTGTACTTTTATGCATGGAATGATATAATAATGCATAGTATACAACTACACACACAACTAACATTACAGTACTACAGTATACTATACTATACTTTACTATTGTGGACTAGACTACACTAGAGTATACTGTACAAAACAACACAATACTAAACTATTCTGTACTACCGTGCACTATACTGTATGAAGGTATACCATTACTTAGTATTTAGTATTTAATAGACTGTAATACAATACTGCACTGAACTACTACACTATATTATTGTATACTCTAGCATTATATAACATATTACGATATGCTATACAACACTATTAAACTTTATCACTGCAGTAATAGTATTAATGGTCATATTGGTCATAAAAGTAGTAGGAAAATGAGTGACACCACCATAAATCACTGCCTTGATAGTGTTTTTGTAATCACTGGTTTAGCTTGGTTTGGGTAGACATATATGTTATGACCATGCTGTTTCCTGCTTCCCCTCTGATAACAGCACATTATCAGTTATATGAGGTGTATTTTCAGATTTGTTGTATTTGTCCATGGTTTATTACGTTTGTGTTGTCAAATGGTGAGGCTCTAACTGCTTTACATGGACCCATCCCAGTGAGGATTATGGCTGGCAAATTTTTCAATCAATCAATCAATCAATTTTATTTATAAAGCCCAATATCACAAATCACAATTTGCCTCACAGGGCTTTACAGCATACGACATCCCTCTGTCCTTATGACCCTCGCAGCGGATAAGGAAAAACTTCCCCTTTAATGGGGAAAAAAAAATGGTAGAAACCTCAGGAAGAGCAACTGAGGAGGGATCCCTCTTCCAGGACGGACAGACGTGCAATAGATGTCATACAGAACAGATCAGTATCACAAATTAACAGTAATCCGCATGACACAATGAGAGAGAGAGAGAGAGAGAGAGAGAGAGAGAGAGAGAGAGAGAGATAGATGCAGGTAATGACAGCAGCTTACAACAACATTATTGAAAGTAATAATATTATAGTTATAGTTCTGGCTACTGTGGTACAATATGTTGAAAGTATGTATTAATATCAGACAGTATACTTGTGTGACAATAGTCATATGTGTAT